TAATTTTCAGAATACATTAACTCACAGACAGTTTATGCTAACCTATTCCTGTGCCAAAATTGACACTTCTCTTGAACAGCCCGTTTTCCTCCGCAGACACGTGTAAAGATAGCAGTCATATCCCCCTCAGTCTTTTTCTGCTGGGTTTAACAAGGCAAATTAAGTTTGCTTTCATAACAGAAACTTTTCATCCCACTTTCCTCCACATACTGGTGCCTAGATGGTCAAGTCTGGTGACAGTGACCCAAGCGTGACAAAGCCACCGGTGACTCCAAGTTCCTTTCTGTTGGGTTGTCCGTAGGTGGGGACAGACAGAAAGACCTGAGTGTATTAGTTGGTTGGATATAGTTTTTTACATCTTTTACAAAGATGGAGTTGGCCATTTTGCTGTACTCCTGGTGGCTCAACAATTTCCACTATAAGCTGCTGTTTTAATTTGTTTTACATTTACCGAACTCGAGTGTGTTCAGTCTCACATTTTCCACACTTGTAGTCAGCTCTGGGCTGGATTTTTTTTTCTCCATCTCAGGAAATAGGGATAATTTGTTTCCAAGAGCACACCCGTGGAAAATTAGTTGTTAACATTAAATACATCCATCTGTTTCTTTGAAGAGCTTTACCACCTGCTTACAGTGGAAAGGAACCTGAAATTTGGCAAGGAGAAACTCTAGGGAGGCATCTTCTGCTGTCCCCATGAAAATCTACCCATGCTTAGTTCCCTATAAATTTCTGGAAAATACCATTTTCACGTGCGCCCACTAGCACACGTGTCTGACTGTTCCATGGGGATCAGACCTGCTCCTCGGCACAGAGGGAAAGGGCTGGGTTGCATCTCCCTAAGGACCATGCAACCGCTGGTAACGGCAGCAGCCCATCTCCTCACGTAATTGCCTATGTCTTTGGCTCGTTCAGTCCAGCACAAGGTCCTGAAGATGACAAAGGTCTTCTGAAGCTTTGCTTTAAGGTGAAGAACACATCTGACTTTTTAAATAAAAATGTCTACATGATACATAACCACAAATAAAGAGTAAAAATATTTCAGAATAAAAATTTCAATGTATTGTATAAGACTCTAGCAGAAATTTTTTCTCAGGAAATTTTACCATGATGTATTGGCACCAGGATTGCTGACAAGCAGATATATCCCCATGCTGGCACAGGGGAGAACTAGTGACAGTGGATTTACACCTGACTGACATTTTGCAGTTAGCTTTTCATGTCCTGCTACCACCTGTAGCACTAACAAGTGCAACCAGAGTGCAGACATGAGTGCAACCCAGACACATCATAAAGCAAGCAAAATATATGGACAGACATCTGAAATCTTAGCCATAGTATATGTTAATACACAGGTAAATGTGACAGGCACAATAAAAATATCCCAGCACCAAACTTTTCACTTAAATACTTGTCCATTCAAGGTGTGCAGCCAGAACATTGATGTATAGACTGAGGCTATGGATGAGATGAAAAGCAAAAAAAAATCACCAGCTTGTGCTAAGATGACCCAGGAGGGACAGCTACACCTCAGCTGCTTCCACCTTGTCCAACCTCATCCTGCAGT